ATACCATATTGCATGAAAGAAAATAATTTTACATATAAACATAAATATTTCATTAATATTTTAATAACTTCAAGAATATTACATGTTCGGCTGTTGAACCGATAAATTTGTACTCGAAACAAAAATCCTGGAATGCCGATTGACAAATCGGAAAACGATTAAGCCACGTCACGTTATCGTGAGGCGAGAATACAGAGATTCGGGGACAGAAAAAATTAGGGGAAGGGATAAATCGTATGACGTAATTGGAGCGTTCCCGGGATGCAGAATATTGCCAGATGAAAGGGGGATGAGCCGGGGAATAACTAATAACTTTATGCAACCCTCGTTGAAGTCAACTCGGAGGGATAAACACGAAATCCAATTTGACACGCGGAAACGCGCGATGTTTATCCACGCTCGTTGTAAGGGTCGCTCTTTCGCTCGCCGCGTCAAGTGACACGGCTAATATCTATTTAATTGATTCAGCAGTGAAAGCTCCACAGCTCCCAAAACTGCTTTCTCGCTCGCAAACAATATGTTGGCTGTCCCTCGAAAGGACGAAGGAAGGCGCACACGTGTCCACCGAGATTGCAAATTGACTCTATGCTGTTCGTTTTGACGCAAACCAGCCGTAGATAGGAAGATAGGAAGGATTATCGAAGACGATAATACCATAAAATCGTCGATAAAATAGTCGTGAACGTTCATTCCTGTAGCTTTATTTCGATACAAAGAACAGAGAATTTGACAAGGTGCAAATTTTTGCAATACATCTTTAAAATTTGCACGATTTAATTTTTAATCGCTAAGAATATTAGTCAACGTAAGTTCTTTCTCAATAAAGTTTTATTTTGAATCGTTTTATTAAACACTTTGTACATGTATATATATGTATACGTACATCTCGTGTTTACGAGCACATCGTACTATTTTACAAGTACGATATTAATCTGCGGATAATAACTACTTATACTAATATATTTTTTTTTAATTCGCAATTTGCAGGCGTAGGTTGAGTCAATATATGGGGCTTTTCTTCATCATTCGTATCATTCCAAGCAGAGTTATATCGCTTAACCTGGATATTTTCTTTGGCTCGGATAATTCTCTTCTCTCAACTCCACTAATTATTATTACAATAACAGAAAAAAAATGTTAGGAACGGAATATCTTCGACCATGCATCCGTATGAGGTACGACTTCTAACAAAGCTAGTTTCGTTGTCATTCAATATGTATCAGCTAGCATACGGCATACACGTTTTCAGTCTCACACATTCGGTAACTTCGAGAAAATATCTATCAATTTACAAAAATACTGCAACGTATATATCATTTATAATTAAAAGGACATAATTAGGTAAGTATACATTTTTTACTATTTTTTTTCTTTCTAAAAAGGTGTCTTTAAACATTTGTAATTATACGTATACGTTTTTCTTCGTACTTCTCCTATTTTTTAGTCATATTTAATCAAAGTACACATAATGTTATCTACACAACGTTTGTACATCTGCAGTTATCTCTTTAGAAAGAGAGATAACTTTTCCTCTACGTATGTAAATGTTATAGTAATTCACAGTCAATAGCGATGATCCTAGAGAGTATATTGCTGCGCAGAATGATACTTGTCTAAGGTTCTTAAAATCAAAAAACGATAGAAAATTTATCATCGATCATTTAAGAATCCGTAATTTTTGGTTTTTAAATAAATAAACTCTCACAAAAGAGATATATTAAGAATCATATAATACAAATATGTGTAAATTTGTTAAATAAAATTGAAAATTAATCAAAGCGCACCGCAGGTAGTACTATGTGAATAAGGAAAAGGATTAATTCTTTTTTGATTTTAATTGTCAGTCAAATAATTCGTTGATCTTTTTTTCTTTTCATAAAAGATCCGTAACATTTCAAGTCAAATGTTTGCTACATAGTTTAAGGCCAACTATCGTGATTATTTTATTCGTATTGATAAAATATATTCGTTTTTCAAATCACGAAACGATTCAGAAAAATTAATTACTTCCTGTTAGATATTTCTCAGCTAAAACGAGAATATAATCGACTTCATTTGCTTTAATATCTTGCAGTGTTATATACACTACAAGGAGGACTTGGGAGGAGACGGGATTTCAAAGTTCCGCCATTATAATTCTCTCTAAACAAGTGATTCTGGTTATATACTTTTATCAGCCTTAATAAACAACGCTACGAAACATCAAAATAGCCTGTCCAGCCATGCTTGATACTTGCTGTATTTCATGTTATAGTTTTCTCAGTCAACAGGAAAGACATTTAAACTATCATCTCTAAGTCTAGTAGCATAAAATGCTAAAACGCTTGTAAGAATAGATCAAATATCACGTGGGCGACAAAAAAGTCGGAATAAATTTGCGATTAAATATTTATTTCTTTTCCTCCTTTTTAACATCGAAGCCCATAGTGACGTTGGAGTTATCCGTGAGACTGCTGGCTATGGTGAGTACAGGCTCTCTTTGTTGGTTTATTCTTGAGGGATGGCTCGGATCCACGTTCAAATTCCAGTTTTCCAAATTCGCGTCCGACATGATCGAGAACGAACTCTGTCGTGAGTAACTGAAACTCGGTTCGGGTTTCGATACGACTGACTTCGGTGTGGTAACGCTTTGCGACCGAGAAAAATTCTTTCGCCTCTGGGAACTTACGTGCGAGCCACTGTTCTTTTTGGAATCTCTTTTCGCCTTTTCCACAGTGGATTTGCCCGCGCTCGACGAATCGGACTTTTGAGAGGTAGATAGTTTCACTTTATCAGAAATACCAATGTTGTCGGTGTCTTTAATTCGAACATCGCCGTACGATATATCCATACTTTCCACCAAGAAGCTAAGAAATATAATAAAAAAATAGCGATAAACAATAATACATTGCTTTATATTTATATTTATATGAACTGTTATTTATTATTCATTATATTCGAGTATAAGCCACTTCTTTGCCTACCGTCCGATTTTTTTATAGCTGCCGCTTAGTTTTGATGGATTAACATCATCCCTCTGCTCGAAAATCGACTTAACGTCTTGTTTCTTTTGCTCCTCCGTCTGTTTCAAAGTCAATGTATGGTCCTCGTCTTCGTCGATGTTATCGCAAGAAATATCATCGCGGCACACGAGCTTTGTCTGCGCGCCGCTGCCGCCGCCGCCGCCGCCGCCGCCGCCGCCGCCGCCGCTGCCGCTGCCGCTGACACCTGACTGTATCATTTGCGGTATTTGCGTTATTTTGCGTATCTGACCATCCTCGTTGCTGTAATAATCCGTATATGAGACGCTGCCGCGACTTTCTCGATTCTCTTGATCGAGACAAATACAAAATTCATTAAAATCGACGTCCAGGCAGGAAGTTGGGGAGAATTTTGGTGCGATAAAGAGTTGAGCACTGCGAAGTGAGAGGTGTTAATGTCAGTATTACTAATATTCAACATGTAACGTAAAGATGTCAAAGGGAAATATGTAAAGTAAATAAAAATACAATTACAAAATGTAATACTAAAGTTAGGAAATCTAAGTAAGCGTTAAACAAAATATTAATCAATCACATTAATTCGACAGAAAGAAACATACAAAATTTTCAAAATAAAGAAAAAATGAATATAAAATTAAGAAATAAAACAAACAAAGTTTGTAGTGTATCTTAAGACATTTAAAACTCACCTCTCGTTACTGGTCAAACTTATAGACATACTGCATTCCCCGGTTGACGTTGGCGCAGGTGACGATGGTTCGGAAGATAGAAAAGATTGCGGTTCGCTACTCCATCCCGTGCCTGCGTAACGTATAAAAAAAAAAAAAAAATTACTCAAGTGTTCAACATTAAAATTGATGTTATCGCCAAGAATCATCATAGTAGAACAGATACGCACTGTTCGGACTGGTAGGTGAGGGTAGATTCCTGGCGTCACACGTTTCTGCTTCGCCAAGAGGCTTATACCGTATCGATGTCGGCGTAATGTATCTGCAAAACGATAGCGCGATAGTGCAAAGAGATTAAACCTAGATTACTTAGCGACTTGTGTACATAAATTTATAATTAATTATTTATAATTAATTTATACTCAAATTTATATTTATGAAATAATATAAATAATAATAAACGCTAACTAACTATTTGAAAAGTCTACCGTAAATGAATCACATTTATCGATACAAGTTCGGAGCAGAAAGCAAAGAAATGGAAGAACTTAATATTCACAAAGATTTGTTTTATATAATTTCTTTCTTCATGATACCTGACAGCTTCCGTGTCAGAAGAATGATACTCGCGACTGATTCCAACGTGGCCGAGGGGTGGATTGAGCGATTCGTGCGTCGATCCAGCCGGCGATGATTTTGGCGGCGACGAGGCCGGAGTTCTATACAATGGTGCGGTAGTCATCATCTCCAAAAAAGAATCCAGTTGACGCAGCGATAAGGCATTATGCAAAGTCTCCAGAGGTCTAATTGGCGGCACTCCGCCGAAGCCTTCTATCGCTATATAGAAGAAGTGTTATAATTAGAATTAATTACTTTTATTTTATAACTGCATTTTCATAACTACATTTTATTCATTTCATAATTGCAATTTATTCATTTTTATTTATTTTTATTTATTTTCAAATTATATTTCATTAGACTACTTGTGTATACGCGCGCGCGCGCGTGGCTATCCCGTCCAAATTTAATATTTCGCTAAATAGTAAGATTATCATATGTACACATCAGGATGTCTACTCAAACTTGAAAAGAAATCCCTGAGAATTTTCTGATTTTCATGGCAACTTGACATTAAAATAAAGTACTTGCCGGCAACTGCGGATGCATGAGGTGGTACCATGTCCTTCAGGTTCGGCGCGCTCGAGGAGCCACTTATCACGGCGGTGCTGAAGAGACTATTGGCCGAGCCGGTGAGTTTCTTGCTAATGTTATAGCCCAGCAACTTGAAATAACTCATCTGTCCGGAGATACTGTGACGGTGGCGCCTTGCTGTGCAGGTAGGATCAGGTTGAATGATCCGCGATCGCGTGTCTAAGAGTGGAGAAAAGGAATGAGGCCTGGACACAGGGTATTTGGACGGATGGGAAACTCAGACGTTGATAAATACTTCGGATAGTGATGATGATTAGTCTTGTGAGTCGGTAACGATGGTAGTGATAACGGTGAATGTTGTAGACATTACGTCGTTATATATAATATTTCTTATTAAAAGCCAACAGAAAAACGGCTATTGAAGTTCTAGACACTATCTCGGCACACTCGTGCTCGTGCTCGTGCTCGTGCTCGTGCTCGTGTTCGTGCTCGTGCTTGTATTCATGCTCGCGTTTCAGGATGAAAAGAGAAACATTAATAATGAAAAAGAGACAACAGAGAGCGATAACGAGCAAAGCGAATCGGTGAGCATAGGACAATTCCCAGATATTAATTTTTTAACGCTGTTCAACTGAATTATCGAATCATGACTCTCTGTCTCTTTCTGAAAGCAGATTTAGAAAGAAACAGGGAGAATTGGTTGGGTCTTAATGGACTTTGATTAATGGAAATGATCCATAGGAAACAAAAATTGGCGTTGGTCTTCCTTTAAAAAAATATCAAGCTAATTAAACAAATCAGAAATAATTGTCTTGATACAATACTAAATATTGCAAATGTCAAACTTACTCCAGAGTAACGCATGAATAAGAAAGCGTGTCCAACTTGCATGTCAATGCCAATAAGAGTTTGCAGTAAAAGAGTTTCTAACGAGGAAAGAAAGAGAACCAAGCGTTACATCTGAAACGTTACTTACCGATTTTAAGGATCGAGATAATCGCGATCACCACAGTCACCGTCATGGTAATATGCGCCACTTACTTATTTCGCTATTAATTACCAGTGAAATTCTCATTGACATTGATATCAGAACTGGACCGTTCTTCCGCGCGCCACCCTGTGCAATTGTCTCCCTTGATTACCTGGCGTAGCGTCTATCGTTACCACTGAACTCACCGCAAAGTTCGACAGTTGGGAGCAAGGTCATTTCGGAGCGCGATCGTTCGTACTTTCTGCCGCGATCACGATATCCGGTAACAGTTCTCTCCGGCAGATTGCTGACGCTCGCGAATGACGAATCGGACAACGAGCAAAGATTGGCGGATAGCTGTCTATCGTTGCGCGTATTGCGAAGCAAGCACGAAGAAGCGAAGCTCTTGTTCGGCGAAACCGGCAACTCCGGCGAGCTATGCGACTGTAACAGTATCGCTAATTTCCATGAGCATTCCTCGTCGCGAAATTCCTCCGAAATTGGCTCCGTGACTGAGAGCGAGTCGCGTTGCGTTGCGTTGCGTTGCGTTGCGGTGCAGTGCGGTGCGGTGCGGTGCGGTGCGGTGCGGTGCGGTGCGGTGCGGTGCGGTGCGGTGCGGTGCGGTGCGGTGCGGTGCGGTGCGGTGCGGTGCGGTGCGGTGCGGTGCGGTGCGTGGCGGTGCGGTGCGGTGCGGTGC